GGCTGTTCAGTCATGCTAAAGGCATGGCCAGTGCTTCCACAGGCATCTGTCCAGTGCTGCCAGTTGACCAAACACTGGGATGCCTGAAGGACACGGGGGCTGAAAGCATAACGCAATAACAAAACAACTCCTTCCATTTCTCCCATCAGGTAAAAGCTGCTACCCCTATAAGGACATTAAAATGAAATAAGAATAAACAGTTAAAATAAATTAAACAAAACAATGACTTTGAACAAACACAACCGAACTGAACTGCCACATCTTGGTTCTCATCAGAAAACAAGTCTTTGTCCACTGACCTCTGTTGGGACATTTTATGTTTATGAACAATGTGGCTCATAGTGCCCTGTTCAGTTAAGGTGTTAAGCTGCTGGCTTGCAGGCCACACACACAAACACACATAGCTGTGGGTTTCCATTACTTCTTGAAAAAACAGAGGTGGGTTTAGTGATTACTGGCAAAACACATTTACTTCTGTCGAGCTAGTTCTACTATGTGCAAGCAAAATAGAGAAGTTTCATTATTCTCATTGGAGTAAAGAGCCCACCAGACCCACAGCAGACAGTTTTCTTCAATCTGTACATGGCGTTTTTATTTTATTTGATGAAGGACAAAAACTGTGCACTGGTATTCAAGTGTTCGTAGCTGTACAACAAGTCACCTGGAAAGTAAGTGGACCTCTCTGTGGTCCCATCCTGGTCACTGCCTCTGTGTGAATATTTGACTTTTAGCTATGAGCAGAAAAACCTACTTATGGGTTTGGAAGATATCTGACTGTGGAAATAAGTTACTGCACCTCTGTCAGCCAGCTGCTCAATTTCCTAGAAAGTAAGGAAATGAAGTTTGAAATCCCAGAATTTACCAGACTACATGGCCTGAGGATAAAACATTAAACATGCCAATGACACTCAAGTACAATATAAACTTAATTTAGGCATTGCGATTTTAGAATAATTCTGATTTTAAGTACTATATACTGTATGTACAATAGGTTAGAGGCTCCAAGAAAACTACTATGAGCTCAATGGTGAGATGTCAAGACATTTTGTATGAAAACCTGAAGAACTTGCATCAGTTCAGCAAGATCACATCTACCACAGACACTGCTGCTGAGATGAGCAGAAGCCAGGTGCCGTGGTAAGTCAGTGTCTTCTTCTGAGCCCTGTGACCATTGGAACAAATTTATTTGTCATCGCCGTTTTCTCTCGCATGGTTTTAAACATATAGAGATTATTACTTTACCCTTCAGGACACTGATGTGGATGTGCACATTGTGTGTTCACAGTCAAACTGTCTGATTAAATGAGAAATGAGGTTTTAAAAGACAAAAGTCTCAGAGAAACATCCCTCGTCACTCAGGTCAGGAGAACCAGCTGTCATGGAGGATCTGAAGGAGCCGTGAGGCCTCATCATCTGATGGCTCTGCATAGTCTGCGGCATAAGAACACACACACAGTATGTAAACACAATTTAAACTTACAATGTAAATTAATTAAAAACTAGAATTACTGCCTCTGCCAATCTGTCATATTCACAGGAATGGGAGAGACGTGAGTTCACGGTGACACCTGACCACCAAAACATGATCAGTTCATCCATGAGTCCAAGTGGACATTTGTGTTAAAATTGAAGAAATCCCCCCTTCGGGTGTTCCTGAGCTATCAAGTTCACAGGAATGGCTCTGATGGATGGATGGATGGACAACCCAGAAACATAATGCCTCCAGTCCCAGCTGTTGCCAGTGTGGAGGTGTAAAAATAGTAACAAGCACCATAAAATTAAAGGAAAAACCCACATGGGGGTGTAATATCATTACATGCCATTGCCAGGCTGGTTTCTGTATGCAAGTATCGACATCTAACTGGTTTGTTTTAGGGTAGCAACTAAAGATTGTTTAAATCATCAAATAATTTTCTTGATTACAAATAAACACCTCTCACAACTTCCCAAAGTCACTTTTTGTTTGACAAATAGTCCAAAACCCAAAGAAATGTCATTTACTCGCATGTATAACAAAGAAAAGCAGCAAATCCTCCTATCTAAAAAGTTAGAACCAAGATTTTTGGGGCATTTTGTGTGAAAAATGACCTTAAACCGATTCCCTGTTTTAGCCAATTCACACGAGCTCTGGTGTGTTTGTCTCAGTTTGTCTGGGCTGCAGGACTCAGGGCCACAATGAACTACAGGTGTGTACATGCCCTCATACCATCAGGGAACCAAACAAAATATTATTTAGGCTAACGAGTGAATCTGATCAACCATGCATTCTTACTTACAGTCTGCGCTGTGTAATGAACCAGATCCATCATCGCTTCTGTAAGAAGAGTCAGAATCTTCTGAGTCGTCATCATCATGGTTATTGTCATCGCTGTTGCTCTGATGCAGAGTCGTCATCATCATGGTCGTTATTGTCATCGCTGTTGCTCTGATGCTGTGGAGAGAAGAAGGAAAACCACTACTGGGGGTCCCTTTAAAACCATTTAGAAATGTTCAGATAGATGGGAAACCTCAGCATTACAAAACAAAACAACTCCTGCATATCACAGACAGCCACACAGCTGGTTTGGGGAACCAGGCACCTCTTCCTCTGCAGGGGAGTCGGCTCCATCTCTGTTTTCTGGGTTGCTATTATTGGCCAGCTCCTCTATGAGCCCGTCTGTGTCCATATCATTGTCATCATCGTCATCGTCACTGTCTGAAGTATCATCTTTGTCCTGATCTTCATCTTCCTAGAAGATAATAATGTGCATTAAAAACAAAACATCCACCAAGTTATCTTGATCTTTGTCTCCACTTGACACCCGTGCATCACAAAAGCTACAACATTATGGAAAGAAAACAATGAGTCACCCAATTCTTTTTTTTTTTTTTTTTTTTACAGTGCACGTTGCATCACATACTGACATCTTCTCAATAGGGACGTGATGATACACTTAGCTCACGAGACACAATACATGATACTGGTTCACAAGAACGACAAAAACCCAACAAATCCCCCTTGAGCAAACACTTGGCGACAGTGGGGAGGAAAAACTCCCTTTAACGGAAGAAACCTCCGACAGACCCCTGCTCTTGGTGGGCGGCCTTCTGCCTCGACCGGTTGGGGTGAGTGGATAGAGGAGAGACAAAAGAAGAAAAGCAACAAGACACAACAATCAAACACTGATCAGGTCGATGTGGCTGGTGACTGCTCGTCAGAGACATAGAGCTCCAGGGCCAGGGCAACCTGCAGAAAGGTACAGGGAGAGAGAGAGGACACACTACG